TGGCCTGTCCGAAGCCTGCCTCCTCTCTTCTTATGGGCTTCCGAAGGGAATTTACCCGCCGCTTTTGTATGCCTTGAGTCGGAAAGAGGGGTAACCTCATACGGACTGCGCATACACTAGGGCGTCCGTAGTGTAGGCTAAGCACTGGTAAAAGGTATGAGGAGTGGAGTGTCTTGAGGAAATAGCCGGCTTATGGTTATGGCAAATCTGGGGGGTCGATTTACCCCCCGCTTATCTATGCCTTCAGCCGGAACGAGGGGTAAGCATCACAAGGACTGTGCATACACTAGGGCGTCCGTAGTGTAGGATAAGCACTGGTAAAAGGTGTCAAGAATAGAGTGTCTTGAGGAAATAGCCGGTGTATGGTTATAGCAGCGCCGCCGGCAGCAAGCACCACCAGTGTGATATGTCAAGGTTTCAGGCACACAGCTCATCTCAGCTTTCCTGACAAGGACTGTGCATACACTGGCGCGTCCGTAGTGTAGCCTAAGCCCGGGTAAAAGGAATCAAGAATACAGAGTCTTGAGCACATAGCCGGTGTATGCTTATAGCAATCCCTGTCCGGCTTCTGGTCTTCCAGCTCCTCCCCCCAAGAAAAGGGGTCGGCGGCACGAGGGCGGAGCCCTTACTATATACCTGCACAACCACATTGGCCCGAAAGGGTCATCCGAAGAACCTCAAAAATGAAAGATGCTCGTGTCCACACGCTTTGGGGGAAAAATGCATGGTGTTCATGTTCCTCCAAGCTGGAAAGAGGTGCCCAGTTTTGTGCCCCAGTTTTGTGCCAATCACTTGCTGTTATTTTAGTCCACCACATGGAACCTGGCTGATCAACTTTCACCAAGTGAGATGGTATGTGATCTCTGAGCGCGTTGATCTCGGCATCGATGAAGTTCCTGAAACCTACGGGACCTACAGCGAATGTGACGAGACAGTGCAGGTTGCGTTTGGTGCACCAGGCACAGACTTTAGAAGAGGAACTCTATATATACATATATCCCAAACACTCCATGTATGGAATCTTATGGAGTATTTACCTATGACCCCGAGTCAATCACCCCGAGTCTTAGTCCCATCGAACCTTCGCCTGCCACTTCGACACACCATCGAGACGCTTGGTTTGTCGCCCTGCCTGCCCCAAATGATGCTGCCATGGATCTTCCTCAGCCCGAATTGCCTTGCAGGCTATGTCTCAAGTTTACAAAGAACTGGGTTGGAGGCCATCGCTCTCAGGTTGGAGGCCATCGCTCTTAGGTTCGAGGCCATTGCTCTTAGGTGGGAGGCCATTCCACTTAGATTGGAGGCCATTGCTGTTAGTCTTAGGTTGGAGGCAATTGCTATTAGGTCTGAGACAGATGGATTCAAACTCATTGTCTTCAGCTCTGCGAATCTGGCACATGCACCTGGTGCAGCTGCCAGCCGGCATAGATACTGGCACTCAATGCTAGACCTGAGCTGCCAACGATCAATCCACGAAACGACCGCTCTGTATGTAAGTTGACCTTCATTGCTTTAGACAAGCATCAGCTGCTCCTTGCACAGTTCATTCCGGCCTCATTGATAGCAACGTGAATGAAGCCCCCAACAGGATCAAAAAGCCACATCCATAGAAAGAACACATGGTTTAAAAGAGGAGAAACGAACAACATTCCGACATTCTGAACATTGCGTGCCTGCTTTGGGCTTTGCAGCCATCGGTGTCCTCGGACTTCTTGCCACATCTGGCGCTTGAAAAGATGGCGCAGCCATGCCTGGCTCCTTAGCCGACCCCAATGGGTAGGGTGCGCGTGTGTATATATATATGGTTATTCTAATATATATTATATATATATTATATATAGTATATATATATATAGTTGTACAATATATATATATATGTTTTTATTATGATCAAATGTGATCAATAAAGGTGCGATTGACCTGGTGTGAACGGCCTAGATGCCGGTCCGGTGTCTGGGAACTCAGAGGAAGCAACAACCAGGCGAGCACCTCGCAAGAAGTCTTGGGAGCTGAGTCCCCTGCCTGGCCATTGGGAGAATGCCCAGCAGCTGAGGAAGCTACTGAATATAACTAATAACTGCATATAACTGCTTTGCATTGTTTTGCTTATTGCTCGGGTCTTTCCGGTCTGTTGGAAAATAGCTGCGGCAGTGATTCTGATTGATAAAGGTCAAAGCACACAGCAAAAACATTCCTAAAACCGCCTTTGAAGCCTGGTTTCGTGTCTAAGACGCGTCAGTGCTTCGCCCGGTGCTTCGCGCGGACCGCTTCGCCCGGTGCTTCGCGCTTGCTTCGCTGGACCCAAACAGGCGGACTGAACGATGATCGGGCCAGGCCGAAGTCCCCCACAAGAACCTGGAGAGGGGTCCAATCGGGTGTTGCCAATGCTGGGCACCCAAGCTTTCTGGAGCCTTGATTGATCTTGGCTTTGCTTGAGGAACCCCAACGGCTTTCACCGGGAAGGGATTGACCCATAAGGAAAATCAACATCACCCCAAAGCAAAACCAGGTTATGATGTGATGAGAGAGCTAGAGACAGACCGATGAATACTGATAACGTGTGTGCTGTTTGCTGAGCTGCATACTTTTGCCAACTGGAGTACTACCATTCACTGCAAAAAAAAGCCCGTGTCGTGTGGCATTACAAAGGCTTTACCCTGTTACTTACCATAATTGGTAATGTGCTTGAGGACTTTAGCCTCTCCACCACTGGCAACTCCACTTCCTCCCCAACAAATAGAAAGCTCCAAAAAGGATGGTTTCCGACTGGCAACTCCGTCTCCGGCCTGCCCGCTCCGATCCAGAAGAATGTTCCCCGGCTTCAAATCCCGATGCATCACGCCGGCGGAATGGATATACTTCAGAGCTCGAAGGATCTGATGTGCGATCAAGGGCTTGTGCACTTCAGTGAGGCAGTTGCACCTGGGGGTGTTCCATGGCTATCTGGCGACCCTCAAAAAAAACAGTGGAAACCGACCCATCGACGGCAACGAACACGGAGAAGGAGGCGACCGGACGGCCGGAGAACATGTTCAGGAAAAAGAACCGCGTGGGGGGGAAGGATTCGGAGAAGCTTTTTCCACAGAGTGAGGCTCTGTTCCTTGGTCGAAAGCCAAAGAACTTGGTGTGCCTGTTCTTTGAGACCTCCCAGAACTCCCCGGAGGTCAGCTTCGTGCCCAAATCGATCCCAAACACAGACCCACCCATCGGGCCATTGGCGGAAGGTGAGCAGTGGAAGGCTCAACGGTTTTAAACAGCCTAATATAGCGATGGCCTCCTTATATGCTAGAAAAGAACATGACAACAAAACTATCTTAGTCGTCTTTGTTTCATTGTGCTTCGCCCCGAGTTGACAGCTTAGATGGCATCGACGAAGCAAAACCAGGAAAGCACTGAAAGCACTGCTTTAGCACCCAATAACCCACAGTCGTGACATCCATTGGATGGGTTGGAGCTGATCTGCTGCACATCGCTCGTGGAAAGGAAAGGCACCAAAAGCTCCAACCGGAGCTTTACAGTAGGCCAGAAGCTAGCTCGTGGGAGCGAGAAGCTACAACACCTTCAAGTCACCCTGTTGACCTTCAAGTCACTTGATCGCCTTGCAAAGGTCCGACTCCATCAGATCGGTCACCTCACACTGATCCGTCCGTCCGGTCGCCGTCGGTCCGGTCGAACCCACTCGGGGGATCGGCGGTCCATGGCCCAAGGCCAAGGGGAAAAGGGGTCGAACTGTCCTGAAAGAAGACACCTCGGGAGAAAAGCAAAGGTTCAAGGATAGTATACACTCCCACTCCCACTCACTGACATTGGAAGTGGACAATGGCCACTGGGAAGATCATGTTCTACAAGCAGTGGGTTTTCCCCTTCAAAGGGTCACTGTGTCCGTCCAAGGGTCACTGTCTGTTCCACCCAGCGTCGGTGTCTGTTCCACACCGATCTCGCCAAACCCAGGCCCGGTCGACGGCCGCCCTAGCGGGCCCAGGGCTGCGTACTACTCATGAACTCAGCGTCTCTGGTTCCGGCGTGTACACGCAAGTGCTTCACCCCCCCGCAAAACAGGTGCCACGACCCAAGCCATCCCTTGCAACCCACCCTCCACCCATATGGCCGAGATGGCTTGCCTTGACCCGAACCCGAACCCACCATGGACTCGGTCTCCCACCCACCCGTCATTTCGACTCCCAATCCCGACCGACGAAGGGGCCGCCGCGACTCGTCCCCCGTGGCACTGAGAGCCCCAACTAAGTAGAGGTGTTTATCATCTGCAGAGACCAGCACATCATGGACCTGAGAGGAGACGCGCCGCGTCCGCCTTTCTATCTACTCAACTGGTTTAGACTAAGTGAGCCAAAGACACAGATGAAGCAAAGGATGGCAAAGGTTGATGAAAGAGGCTTCAATCATAAATCCAGGTCCGAAGAAAGATCCGACATGAAGGCGACCGCCGCGACCGCCGTCCAGGCGGCACGTGCCGAACTAGGCGTCCCGGCATAGAGGATGTTGGTGTGGCTGCCGAACTCCATCAAGTAAGAGATCTGAGAAATGCAGGGAGTCCGGCATACTGTGTTTCTGCATGGGCACGGTGGTGTCAACTCACTTGAACAGGCTTGGTCAGTGGGATCAATCCTCTCAAGTAAAGGTGGAACATAAAAATGTCCGAAACCACCGCCTAAAAGCCGAAAGACGGACACTAGAATGAGCCTCAAAGCCATCAACATCATGCCCATGAGATCGAGCTGGAAAGGAAGAATGCGGGGCCGTCCCATGGAATCGAATAAATACCGTCTTTTTCTTCAGATGCTTCCATCGTCCAGTCCCAGGAACTCTTTTGGGTTTTTCTTCGGCATTCCAGTCCCTCCTGAAACGCTCACGCCCGTCCTTCCATGTGGAGAGTGCGCATTGTGAGGGCATTTCTACGGCGTCAAAACGAGGGTTCCGGTACAGGATGCAGACATGGAAAAGCTATGAATGTGGAAACCCGGTCCCAAGCAGAAACAAATGGATGCTTCCCTAGTCCCAACCACAGGTCATGTCAACAAATCTCAAGAAAGCCATATTGGAACAACCATGAACCATCCTTTGCTGCTGGCTGTTTGGGATCCTTCGGGTCATTTACTTAGGACCGGGGAGTCCCGGAAAAGACTTGTTCCGGCTTTCACCTGCCAAGCCCAAGTCCGGGGCGCGCCTCTCGGTAAGTCCTTTGTGCATCTGTGGCATTGTTGAAGGCGTAGAGAATCTGGAGGTGACGGACTTTGGGGGGGTCACAAGCATGACCAGCAGGTCATGACGGAAGAGGCAATGTATGGAGTGAGACGGTTTTTTCTATTTGGGCCCTACCTTGGAGAGGCTAATCCGTTACCCCTTGGAGTCGTTCGTCAGTGCTCTTCAGAACGCCCTCCCAATGCAGGCGCCCAGGGAGCAGGCTCATCTCGTGAAAACCGTGACGCTCACCATGTCCTTTTGAGGTTGGTCTGAAAGGACGGGAGAGTGAAAGGCGCCCAGTGGCGATAGGATCCCATAGGCCATTCAAGGAATGCCCGATCGAAAAAAAAAGAAAAGAGCAGTCCCAACAAGTTCCAACCAGCAACAGTTCTGGTTGTTCCACTAATGGCTTTCTTGAGATTTGTTTACAAGATTTTACAAGTGGTTGGGACTGGGGAGTTCCGACTTCTTTCTGCTTGGAACGCGTTATTCAGCTTGGTCACTACCGGCTCAATACCCTCATCTTCCTTAGAAGATGAGACACCCGGCAGTCGAGACCTCCGGCGGGGGGGGGCGAGCGAAACCCGCCTTCTTCATGGCGAATTTCTCAAATTTCGTTGGGTCCTGCAACTCGTTGGGAAGCTAGTAGCAAAGGGCATCGCTACTAGTAACAAGAAGCTACTCGGGGCTCCTGGCCTTACTACTAGGAGCAAGAAGCTACTAGTAGCTATATAAGTGCATTACTAGTAACAAGAAGCTATTAGATGCTAGATGATGCTACTAGGTGCATCGCTCCCAGCAAGGACGCTACTTGGAGGTTGCCCATGACTCGACTGGCCAGTTCTGCCCTCCAGTCATGTCTCAAGTCGTGTCTTAGTAGAGCGTAAATAGAAAACGTCTTCCACATGTCTCGCTGTCCAGATGTCCAGAATCCGCCACGGTGCACGGAGCGTTCGCTGTTCGCTTCGCACCGGTCCCGCAGCATGACCTCAAAGACCACACCATAGCACCTCCGTGGCGAAAAAGACGGAACGACTTCGATCGACCATCTCATACCATATCCCATGGAAGTTGGTTCGGCCATGAAAACAATGATGGACCTTGTATTTTTCAATTTTGTGTAAGATCCTTAGTAAAACAATGATGGCGGTTCAGTAAAAATCATTACATATGATTGGTTGGAAGCCTAGGGATATAATATGTTGTGCATCTCAGTTGCTGCCCAGGCACCCGCGTCCAATACGGGAGATGAGCTCATAGCGTCTCGCAACATCGCGATCTATTCGTTCATATGGAGCCTTTCCTTATAGTTGCACAGGCACTCTCAGCAGAATTCAGAAGCAGACTCGCAGTCTACAGTTCTTTTGGCACTTGAACCTCAGCTAGTAGCTTCTTTGCAAATATGTCTGGTACTGAGGGAAACACTTCTAGACATACCATCTGACGGGCAGCTGCAGAACTCGCGCGTGCGGGCAAACTCTCATGGATTGTACGTCTGCGTGGATCATCATCTGCTGTGCTTGATAGTTCAAGAATGTTCCAAAAAAGAACTTGCTTCAACTAGGAGCTTGCTAACTTGCTTTTTAAACAAATTTAAACTACTGATTCCAAGGATCTTGCAACGTCGATGGCTCAATGTGTATAGTTGCTGATGTCTGGACTCTTGCGCTGATCCTTGATCCTTGCACTTCAGCATTGATCATGACATGTTCTCTGTCCTAGCTCAGCATCAGCAAGCAGGTACCTGCCTCCGTAGCCCTTCTTAGCTCGAACTTGCACGTTCATGGTCAAACACCAAACAGACTGTGACAGAGAAAGCCCCACTTTGCAGCTCAAAAGTTTTGGAAGGACCCCTTCTGCTTTGGAAGGGAGACAGAAATCCTAAGTATTCTTAAATGTCATTTTCAATGTTGAGATAGCCATGAATACCACCCTCATAAAGCACGTGGTTGTTAATCAAAGGCCGCTCGTCCCCATTCACGGGACACCCTGCTCTCTTCCAGTGATTCAGCCCGCCGATCAGCCTCAGAATGCGTTTCTCGTTCCCCAAGGAAGGCTGCTGACGGCAAATGCGGCGTAGCTCTTGTGTGACGCGGACACAGCGGCTGATGTATCCCAGGCTAAGATCGTCAGAACCACTATCGCTGTAAACGATGATGATAACGAGTTTGTGAGGGAATCGCAGCAGTTGCTTCAACACGGGATTCGCCGTGTGCTCCAAGTCTTCTCGTTGCTGAATCAAGCGTCGAAGCAGTGGAGACCGTTCAGAGAAGGATAACGCCCCGACAATGTGGCCTCTGTCAAACTCGTCGACGGATCGAGAGTCCAAAAAATACGGCATCGCCTGCAGCATCGGATGACAGTTCCCTGCTAAGAATCTGGATCCGAACCAATGTTATGAAGGGATATGAAGGGTCCGCCCCAGAATTTTCTTGGTGGCAACCAAGAGCTATCCTTGCCTGCCTCCTCAACACGAGATTGATGGAGCATTATCGTCATGCCACATGCGATAACCTTCCAGCCAGCACGTCAAGTGTATATGGTTCCTAGTGCAAAAAGAAAATGTGCATCTGTAATTTAAAAGGACTCGCCGCCCAATTGTGGACTTTGCTTTATCACCCCTATCCCTTTACTG